CGTGGACTCAGATGTCTGGACCCCTTGGAACGAGTGTGATAGAGCATGTGTTGGCCATCGCTCATGTTCTCTGTGCTCTATGTATTGTTGGTTCACTCTTGCACTTTTTGTTATTAAGTCAGGAAGGTCCTGGCCTTCACATAACTGTTACCGAATCTCTACTGGTTTTGACAATACTCTTAGGCTTGATCTTCTTCCCTCTGTGTTCCAAATTAATCCAGCCCATTTGAGTGACAATGTGGACCTCTCTCTCTTTTAGGCTTTGCCTCTTCCGAAGGTGACAGAATCTTCATGCCGCTGAACCAGAGTTTGGGCTAGGAACAGTGACCCGCTTCTGCTGGTGACAGCTCTGTGGTGTGAACAGACACTGAACAGAGAGTGGGGTGGTGTCTGCCTCATTCCTCGCTGCAGAGTGTCTGTGCTGTGACTGCTCTGGGGTACTGTGATCAGTGCCACTGTGCTCTGAGCCTCTGCTCTTGGGCAGAGCCATGCGCTCCAGTGGAGAACTGAGTGGGGAAGGGGAGATGGAGCCCACCTGTCAGGAACTGTGCTTCTGCCACAAATTGTTGGGGCTATGGAGGTAAAAGGCAGCCTGCCCTCTGATTCCAGTTACCTTTCTTTTTTTTTTTTCGCTGGCAGAACTGGGGATTGAGCTTAGGCCCTTGCGCTTGCCAGGCAAGCACTTATTCTACTGAGCCATCTCCTTGTTGTTGAGACAAATACCTGACACCAAAAATGAAGGAAGGAAAGATTTATTTAGCTCACAGTTACTAGAGGCTTCAGTCCACATTCAGCTGGCTCCAAGGCAGAGGCACTTAGCAGAGCACCTTTCCTATCCAGCAAAGAGCAGAGAATGAAGGGAGCCAGCCAGCCTTTCTCCTCTCCTTACACTGTGATGCGGAGTGACTGCCCAGGGCACTCACACCCATAATCCCAGCACTGGATCAAGAATCAATCCCAAACTCAGAGGCCGCCCCTTGACTGCGTGAGATTTTCGGGGGACACCTAGACACAAACCACAACACCTCCTCAGGAGAGACCTTAGCCCTGGACGAGTGGGATCTGGGGGTGGGAGTCCTCTGCCCTGGCCCAGGTCTGCCCAGAGTTTAGCTTCTGCTGTGCAGAGCTGGGACAAGGCTCAGTGCCACAGTTGCTCTGCATTCTTATCAACACTTAGTATGTTTTCTTGGAGAGCTGTTTCTCTATTTGCTATATGCCTTCAGGAAGCGTTCCATGGACTTGAACATATGTGTACTTTGTCATTAAGAATTTTGACCCCATAACTAAGTGGGGGCTGTTCTGAGGGTGTGCCTGCTGCCCTCTCACTGCCGTCCCGCATGCGCTCTTGCATTCCCCATGCCGCAGTACTTCCCTCCACACGTGTCCGTAGTCCATCTGTGGGCAACTCCTCGCTCGTCACTGAATGTGCTCTTCAGACCCGTACTCTAATGGATTACTTGGATTTTGAACTCACTGAGGTCATTTCAGCAAATTAGTAACAGGGTGCTCAAGACCACTCAGTAGTTTAAAAATTACAGCCTTAATTTTTAAGCCTTGTGTCCAGGAAATTCCTCCTCAGACTGATGAGTTCTTTTTATAACTGCCCTTAGCAAGCAGGACATATAGTATTTGTGTAGATTAAAGGTTAATAACCTCAGAGTGTGTTAAGTTGTAGGAATCTAAGGCAGAGTGATTCACGCTGATGTGTATGTGCTGAGACAATCAGCCCCTGTAGAATAGGGGATAACGCGGTTCGATCCTTGTAGGAATATAGCTGGTGATTTATCTGGATGTTGTATGCAATCTATTGTCAAGCTGACCGGTGAATTGTGCCTGTGTGCGTTGGTAGGTTATAAATGATTAATGGTATAATATGTATACATACTAAGTAGAAAGTAGCTTCTGTTTAAAAACCCAGTTTTCTGCCACTCGGCGCACTTTTCTGTCTTCTCTCCGGTGTGACTAGAAGTCAGGAAGGCCCCGAGCTTGGTGTTAAAGGCTCATTTTAAATTCTCAATTTGGACTCTGGTCTGGCTTCTGTTTGACAACCTGTGTCACATTGTTCCTATGAATTCGGTTTCCTGCTTCTGTTATTGTGAATGCAGGCGCTGAGTGAGTATTTATGAATAGATGGATTAGCAGGTGAAAAAGTGAGTGGACACTGTAGTTTTTAAGAAACAGGTTAATTTTTACCCAAAGAGACCGACACAGACAGTGGTGACTTCAGGCCCTGGGGGCTCTGCTGAGTGTGGAGGCAGACTGGGATTCCGCAGGCCCAGTCCAGTTATTCCCAGGCAGAAGTGTTAGGAGTGGCGAAGGACCACTGCACAACACAGGACCACTGCACAACCACTGCAGCAGAGCAAATGGCAGCGACAACGCCACCAACCAACAAGGCAAATAGCAATCACAAAAGCTCCGTCAGTATGTAAAGGTGTTCAGCCTGTAAAGACTATGACTTAGAAGCAATGATGTCATAGAAACATCATCACCAGGTTTTCAGAAATTTTCAAGTGTGCATACTGAGCTTTGGAGAAGACGCACAGTGTCAGAAATTGTGGTGGATGTTGTACAGAGCAGTGCAGAGCTACCTTGGAAGGGGGTGTGGCAGTGACCGAGCGGGAGGGGTGCGCACATTCCCTGTGCTGCTCCTTGTACATCAAGTCCTGTATTCTAGAGAAAATTCTCACTCATACGAAGAGGAAACGCTTATAGAAGGGTGTGTTTAGCTGAATTTTTATAACGAACCATGTAAGACAGCTCTACTATATATGAAGGAAGAAATGAAGAGACAAAGTTGGATATACTCTTCGAGTGGACAGTCTTCTTGGTTGTCTTTGGACACTATCACAGGCATCAGCGAAGTGTGGTCCTTGGGCTAATCTGTCCCTGGGACTATTTTTGAAAAGTCAAAAGAAAAATGTAATGTATAAACTTACATATTATCAATAATGAAATAGTGCAAGTGGCAATTCTGTATCTGACCCCCAAGCCCTAGAACGTTTCTAATTCTGTCTTTATGAACAAGCTGTAGGCCCCTGCTGTAGAGCCGATTCAGGGCCCGGGACCATGTGCCCCCAGCCAGGGCGAGACGGACCAACTATTCCTGGATGCAGCCTGAAATATCAGGAGTGAAACCCCTCAAGGCAGTCTTCCACCAAGAGGAACAAGAATCAGCCAGTGGTGGTTATGCACAGTGGGGGACAAGTGATCTCGGGTGGTGACCTCCAAGTGATAGAGGGGAGAATGAAACTCTGTGCAGGAAAGGTTCCTGGGACGAGTTCATGGTCTCTAAAACTGAAGAATGAATTTTAGGAACAAATGGAAGTTATGGGCAGAATATATTTATTGTGGGAAAGAAAGCCCCTGTCCAAGAGAGGGACAGGAGGGGGGCCCCTGAGTGCGTGATCTCAGGAAGCTGTCTCTTCCAGGGACTTTAATAGAGTAAAACCATGCAGTGAGGCGTGGCTAAGGTGGTAGAGAACAAGGAACTTGCTTAGGTGGGCGCGAGGAGGGACATAACTGTGGCCAACCAATGAGATTACAAGCACCATTGCTCAGGTAAAATTGATTAAATCCAGTACCAAATGGGGAAGTGAGTGACGTAGCAAAGGGACATGAATAGGGGACAGGGTCTCTTCTGATGGGGGTTGGGTTAGTGACTCATTTGGGCTCTTTCAAGTTGACTGATACTATTTAGGATATCAATCCCTGATGCCCATCCCTA